CATGTCACAATACTTTATGAGTTTATTCTTAAGGAAAAACGAAAAAATATTAAGTTACAAAAAAGGAAAAACGAAAAATATTACCACAGTGACGAAATAATGCCCTTGTCATATGTTTTTGTGATGACAAAAAAGAAAAGAAAAATCCGACCTAAATCAATCCAGACCCGATCTATACCACTGGGCCTTAGAATTACATTAGGCTATATAACCCTTTAAAAGTTTTATTTGGAGTGCGATGCGGATGCTCCAAAAGAAAAAATCTACTAAAGAACAGTCTTGGCACAAAACAAAGATTATAGGAATAAAGATAAGTCTTTCCTTTATTGTTATGTACGTTAGGCTCAAAAGAGTGTTGATTAAACTTCATAGACTCATAAATAAATGATATGCTTTCTTCCACAACTCTATTGTGAACCTAAAGTACTACTTTAAAAAGACACATAAACCCGACACTCGTCTCACCTGCATACAGTGGTGGAGTTAGCCATGGATCATGAACCAATCTATTATAGCTAAACAAGCATGTATGAGTTTTGAACTCTTGTCATAGGGGTCAAAAGGAGAAATTTTAACAAGTAAACCATAACAATAACTTGGGAATTAAGCTAAAAATTAAGTTTTATAGATTTCATAGAGGTGACCCCCCCCCCCCTCCCCTTAAAGTAGCATACAAGTACAAGTAAGAGAATTCAAGAAAGCTAGGGAGAGCATAGACAACAAAATAAGAGCACTTTCATCGCAAAGTGCTTAGGACAAAAGGTAAGGAGAGAGGCCCACATAAAAACAAAATTCGATGTTTTTGTTGCCCACACAAGTGCCCAATTTTCGTGAGTGCTTGGCCTGTTTTGCGGACCCTATGACACGTGATGGCTCGCGATTGATCCTTTTTATTATTTTTTTTTAATCTGGAAAAAAAAAATTTAAGCAGTTTTCTTTTTCAGTTCCACAATGAAATAAGGCTTTATTTTTCTTTTATTATTTTGACAAAGGGTCTTCTTTAGGTTAATTAGGCTGTGAATTCTTTTTAAAAAAAAAATAAATTGAAATTCATGTTATATAAATATGAGTTTTTATATTTATTTATGAGTAACGCATTTTACACTACAAAAAAACTGTTGTTTAGCATCATTTATTTTTTATTTTTGCATTAGTTATAAATGATGTAAAAGAATTTTACATCATTTATATAAATGACTCTGAAAGTGATGATGCAAATAATTTACATCATTCTATTAATAATCGATGTAAATAAATTAAATATTCACATCAACTATTATAAGTGATATCAATATATATATCAATTACAATAATTGATGTTAATATTTCTATCATTTAAAAAAACCGATATTAGTAATAGCATCAATCAAATAATTGATTTAATAATTTATATCAATTTTTATTATTGAATTTAAATGATTATCAATTTTTGAAAATGATTTTAAATTTTTTTGTTATTTACAGTCACTATCTTAATTTTTGAAAGTGGTTTTTTTATTAGTACGTATACACAATTAATGTAAATACTACTAAATAAATAAATCAAAATATTTTATTAATTGTTAAATTTCATTTTCTTTGATGTTACAGTTAAATAATAGTAAACCAATAAAAACAAGAAAAAGAAAGAATAAAATTCCCAAAAAAAAACTGTAACTTAATTCGCCATAAGAGTTCTTCAATCAAGCTTCTTCTTCTCTTCTTCTCTTATTCTCTGTATCTTTTGCTCTTGGTGGCAGTTCTTTAAAACTAATAATGCATCTGCAAATAAAACCATCATCACTCAAATAAGAAAAATGCAGATTCGTAGATAAAATAAGATAAAAATGGACGAGACTGTTATTATTGACTAACCTTAACCAATGATGCACTGTGGAAAACACTATTGTGTTTTTTACGGAGATTCAAAGAGTATCATATTCCGATCTGTAGATTCAGCCTCTTCTAAAGAAATGTTCTGTGTATAAGAGAAGAAGAAGTCCTTTGATGAAAAAAAATAAGAGAAGAAGATTGTAAAAACAAGAAGATTGTAAAAAGATGTAAAGGATCGTTGCTTTTATTCAGTTGATTAGATATTAGAAAATGAACGTGATCTAGTAGTTGAGATAAAATAGGAGAAGTTACTATATTTTTGGTAACAAACATATATATTTTAAATGGTGTAAAATTAAATTAACCCATTAAATATAAACTTAACTACTGATATTTATTAATTAGGTCGAAAATGTAGGATATTACTTGTATTTTATTTTTCAACTAAGTTATTGCTTTAATCATTTATAAATTATAGTCAGCATATTTTTTTTTTAAAATATACATTTTGAGATTATTTATTTAGTAAATATATATCCAGTTAACATTTTAATATTCAAAATATCAATTTATCTAACGTACTAATTAGATCAATTCAAATTATTTCTAAATTTTTATCAAAGCAATACATTTTTTATAAGAGTAAATATACAAATTTTATTGATATTTAACTGAGGAAAATAGTTTTTTTCTTAAAACATATATTCAACCAACATAAATGAATAACGTACAAATATTAGTATCTGATTAAAATGATGTTAGTATCATTTTTATCACTGATGTAAAATTTGCAACATTTATTAAAATGATGTTACTTTTGTATCATTCTTATAAGTGATATTAATACAAATTAATAAATGTATCGATCATTTAACTGATGCAAACTTTAGTTTTCTATCATTTCTTAAAAAGTGATATAAACTAATATGGATTCGCATCAATTTCATTGAATTGATGTCAAACTAGTTAATAACATCATCGTTTGTTATAACTGATGTTAAAATAAATAGTTTGTATCATTTGCTAATAAGTAATTCAAATTAACATCACTTATTTTTCTGATTCTACTTAAGTGATGTATTATGATTCTTTTTTTGTAGTGTTAGCTTAACATGATTATCTAAATCTGGGTTTTAGTTCTTAAATATGAGCAAATGGTACATGGTATCTAAATAATTTAGCCAAGCCAGAGTGACATATTAGAAGCTATATTTTTAAAAGCATGTGTTAGACTGTGGCACATCACGCTGAAAATACACTAATCAGAGTTTCTGGTTCACCAGAAATATATTGGAAAAGGTTCTAGAGTGACCAAAGAACATTTTGTGATGGTAAGGTTTGTATGAGCTAATTAAACCCCATTTGAAAGTTCAAGCTTGTTAAATAATTCATATTGTGGGTACTTCGTATGGAAATGTTTAGTTGTTGACAAGATTAATGTGACGATTTTTTATATTCTGATAAGAATTCCACTTTAATAACTCCTATTAAACATGTTCTTAGTATCCTAAATGGACTTGTGTTAAAGAAAAATGAGCGAGTAATTTGAGGAAAGTGATCTAGGTGGGTACTAGTATTAATATGGCTCCATGATGCATGGAAAAAGAGTCAATCTGTTGTAATTGGCCAAAGGTGGAGCCCTAATAAAAATCTCTTTCATTAAGCAGAAAAGATTTTACCGGTTCAACTTTCGAAGTGGTCCACTTCCAAGGAGCTGGAGCCAAGTCTTACTCTGCATGCTGATTTTAGCAGAAGCAAAAGCAGAGGCCTTATTATCTGAAGTGGACTTGTAGTGTAAAATAAATCGAGGAAAGTGATATCTGCTGCTGATATTAATATGGTTCCATGGTGCATAAGAAAATGACTCAAGCTGTTGTATAGTTGGCCAAAGGTTGGAGCCCATATAACAGTAAAAATAATTATAATTGAGTAAAGAAAAATATAGTTGTATTGTTTATTAGAAAAGATTTCACCGTTTCCACTTGCCAAGTGGTCCACTTCCAAGGAGGACAGCGTCTTACTCTGCTGCTGATTTGGCATTAGCAGAAGCTCTTATACTTTCACACTTTGTGGAGTCCGTAGAGTGCCAACTCCCTATATGGCCATCATACAAAAAGTGTGTATGTGTGTGTTAGCAAAATTGAGCTTTGAATTTTTTTTCCTCACATCAACCTGAGGAATAATGAAAATGAAAACAAAAGCAAGTTCCCACACCAATGGGAGTTTACCAACGTTTAAGTGATTTGGTAACAAGTCTAACCACAGATGCAGAGTATTGTACGTGAAAAAGTATGCTACAAAAA